GTGGTTAAGGTCCTCGCCTTGCACGCCCGGGATCCCATATGGGCGCCGCTTCTAATCCCGGCAGCCCCGCTTCCCTTCCAGCTCCCTGCCTGTGGCCTGGGAAAGCAGTCTAGGACAGCCCAAAGCTTTGGGACCCTGAACCCGCGTGGGAGACCCAGAAGAGGCTCCTGGCTTCGGGTTGGCATAGCATCGGCCGTTGTGCTCACTTGGGGAGTGAATCATCGGACGGAAGATCTTCCTCTCTGTCTCTCCTCTCTGTATATCCGCCTTTCTAATAAAAAAATAATAAAAATAAATCTTTAAAAAAAATTTATATTGCTGGTACTATTGCTGCCCCAGTACTGTTAATACATAATGTGAATAACTGTTATTCTAAGTTAATATTAACTCCGAGTTAGAACTTTCTTAATTACTATCTATTTCAAATAAATACAGCCCAAGTGAACATACAATATTTCAACATTTACGCAAGATATTTTCTACTTTTTTGTTGTTGTTTTCTGAACAACCTGAAAAGTAGTAAACCTATGCAAGACTCAAAATCTTCTCAAAACTGGTAAATAAGTTGCTAGTAACCTTCTTCATTGGTTAAATGGCATGCAGTTTCACATGCAACAAAAACTGAAGTCCTGGGATCAGGCTGAGACACATCCCTATGTTCCTTACTGAAGAGCTTGGCTTCATGATTTAGATCAACTTGCAATTTCAACCTCCTGGTAATGTGTACCCCAAGAGCTATCAGGTAATAAATAGCTTAAACATCTGGATCCTGGACACCCGCGCGGGAGACCTGCACAGAAATCCAGTCTCTGCTTCAAAGTGGCCCATCCCCAGCCAGCTGTTGCAAACGTTTGGGAAGTGAACCAGCGGATGGAAGACATCTCCCCTCCGCCCCCCCGCCACCTTGATGTGTGTTTATCTCTTTCTCCCTCCCTCTATCCTCAACTTTCAAATAAAATAAAAATGAGTAAATAAAAATTATTTAAATAAATAAAGCCCTTATCTTAATGGAAGCCGTAATCTAGTTAAGCAAACACAAACCCAACAAAGATTACTGGAGGAAAACAGTAGTTTCTTTTTAAATATGATGCATCCTATAAAATGTAAAAAGGAAAACCACACATGGAGGTAGGGCTCAAAAAGGCAACATTAGCTGCCACTTGCACAGATATGGATGGAACAGAAGAAAATGTAGAGGCGTTGTTTCAAATGAGAACATGTGCTGTTTAGGTTTAAACAGTTCGTCTTCCAGTAAAAATCAAACTTCAAGCACTAACACAATTCCACTATTTTTCTTTCAAATCAAATGATTTAGTACAGTGGGTGAGTTTTAGATCTGCTCAATCATATTACCTCTTTTATAAGTGCATCCTTATAGTCTCAACATAGGAGATAGGGCTCAAGAACCTCCTCCCCGTAGCCCCCCTGTAGCCCTAATGACCACCATCATGGGTCCCAGACTTCAGAATAGTAGACAGTATTACTGGAAAAGCTTTAGGGAACACACTGTCCAACAAAGAATGTGCAGCTACATATGTAACTCAAGCTCATGGAAAAACAAAACAACAAACATCTGCAAACAAAAACTGTCAAAGAAACAGACTTACAGAGAGGAGGCGGGAACAAGCGTGACGGAAGACAGGTGACAGACAGTGAAGCTAGAGAGGTGGGACAGGGCGGATCGTGAGTGAACGCTTCCTGGGTCCCAAGAGAAAAGCTTTTACTTTATCCCTAAACCAATTTCCTCTCTAAGATTTGTTTTTCTTTTTCTTTGGAAGGCAGAGTTACAGAGCAAGGAGGAAACAAAGAACCTTCCACCAGTTGGTTCACTCCCCAAATGGCCACCACAGCCAGGGATGTGCAGGTCCAACACAAGGAACCCAGAGCTGTTTCTGGTTCTCCCAAAACAGGTGCAGGAGCTCCAGGACTTGAGCCACCTTCCACTGTTTTCCCCAGCGCAGTTGCAGGGAGCTGGATCAGCAGTAGAGCAGCCGGGACTAGAACCTGCATCCATATGGGATGCCAGTACTGCAAGGCTCAATCTGGCTACCACATGCCAGCCCTCGTTTTCTCTTATTGCACTTATGATTCTTGGAAACAAATGTTTTCTAAGATGCTTACATGATATAAAAGCTACATCTTTACAAGCAAATCGACAACGTTTTAGCATCATACATGTTTGCTGGTAGTGCCTAAATGCTCCTTCTGTACATTCCAAACTCCTCAGCTTTCAACAGAGTCAACTCCAGAAAGTACTAGACTATCTCCAGAATGACTAATATCCAAGAAATTTCAGCCCACATTGAAATAATCTTGTCAAGTTTAGTTACTTCACATCCCAATACAGCCTTTCCTTTATTGAGACCTTAGAATGCAGATTATTAAACACCCTCTAATCTCTGCCTTATTTTGTAACCAGGCCCTAATCCTCCAGTTATCCCTCAAAGCACAGCTAGCAAAACCTTTCAAAACAGGAATTAGACAATAGAATCTACCCCCACAATTCACAAAGTCCTCCACTGTGAGATATAACACGGTCATCTAAAAATGGAGCCCTGTGCCATAACAAAGAGATATAAACGATTTTAAAATAGTAACAACAAATGCTCCAGAGCAGGGGAGGCAAACCCAGCTGCCAAAAACAACAGAACTTGATGCAGTTGCCCCTAATGTGGGACTAGAAACTGGACACCCCTAACGTGAACACTGGAAACATGGCTGGTACAGCTGAGAAGCACAATTTTAACTAACTTAATTTTAAATTAGAGTTAACTGGCCATACTAGTAGTATGTGCCTAGTGGCCACCATATTGGCCAGCAGAGATCTGAAAGGCCCAGGCAGGACACTCCATGAATGCAAATTCATGTCCATCTAAAGATGACACAAGCTAATAGAATTTGAGCTTAATGTTACCAATGTTTCAAAACTGAGGAAAAACAAAAATTTATGCTTTACATGAAATATATCCATTTTAAAATATCGGCAAGCAATTTAAGTCATCACTCGGACCAAGAATCAAGCATCCACGGATCTCTTTCAATTTCTTACCTAGGAATCCTGTTATTCCTTCAGGGCATGTTTAAGGAGTGCCTACCACATGCCATATACCATCCTGGGAGCTAGACACAACATCAGACAGAAACCGCTGCCCAACTTGCAAAGCAGCAATCATAACGTTAGCATGGCAGTAAACACCGCGTCCTAACAAAGAGGCCCCAAGCTACTCACAATGACTGTGGGTAGCCAGCATGCAGGACTCAGTATATCCACCTGACGGATTTCTACGCAGTTTGAATTTCTATATGCTCTCTTACTTTTAGAAAGCCCCCAAAACAGATGTGTGTAAATTTTTACTGGTTTTCCAAGAAAGTGCTAGGCCAGGACCAGGCCAGACCTCCTGATTTAATTACAACCCTCGGATACGCCCCTGCACATTCATTCACCCTGCTTAGCTCTGCTCACACACAACAAGCAAACCGCTGCTCTACTCCCACATGTGTGAAGGAGTCTACCGACACAGATGTAACAGCAAAAGGCCTCAGCACCACACACAACTGTGTTATCATTTGCAACACTGACAATCAGGGGCTAGTGAGACCACCCGAGTCTGCTAAAATCTTGTGTCAGGCCCAGAGGCAAGCCCTGTAAGGCCATTCTCCCTGGGCAATCATCTCCATCCCCCATGTTTGCACACATCCCAAACAGGATATGTCTTAGATTCCAAGAAGTCCGACACCAGTGAGAAAGGAATTTCACTGTCACGAAACAACATTTGCCAGTCACAGCATTTGCCATTGGTCCCTCTGTCCCTCAGCAGGTGGCCAAGGAAAACAACACCTCCACGTGGCCAAAACAGGAATTGCCCAGCTAACTGGAGACCATCCATAGGAAAAGTCTTTCTAGGTTTCCCACCAGGCAGACATGCAACAGAGGGTCCTCTGGCCTGCAGAGCAGCACAAGGAGGGGTCAGGGAACCCTAAAAAACCCCAACAGGCTTCCTGAAACCCAGTGTCTCTCCTTTCAGGAAACACCCCTCACTCGGGGTTTCCTCCGTGCGGTGTTTTCTCTGTAACTTTCACGTTCATGCTCATTTGTGCACTTTGCAAATAAAATTTCTCGGTCTGCAACCAAGTCTCAGCCTTTTATTTCTGCATTAAGCTGAGGAAGGGACACACTGAGCTTTGCTGGCAATATTTTCGATGGAAATATGCTCGGTGCCTGGGACTCCGCAACCCCTGGCTTACCCGAGGGAAGCGTAAAGAATGGGAGAAAAGCAACCTATTTATGCGAACAGCCCAGCACCAGGACACACGACACGGAAGAGGAAGAGCTGACACATCCCCTTCTATGAACAGTGGCAGGGCAACAAGCAGCGCTGGCAGATTTCTAGGACCACTAAACTAACAATGTGAGAAAATTAACCAATTTGGACTGTGAGCCTCTTAGAACATTCCAGAGCCTTAATTCCTTAAGGACCGTGTCAGAAGGCTTAAGGACAGCGCTCACTGGCACTCACAGCCGAAGCCTGGGAGACAGTTTTAACAACTCGTGCTGAAAATGACTATTTCTTCTCCGGTTTCTATGGAAACAGCTGTCAGGCTGACAAAAAAAATAGGACACGGGCTTTAATCACTCAAGCAAAGTACACAGCGGATGGAAGGCACCGTGAGGCAACAGACCTGGCTCCTGGGCTTCGCAAGGTCAGCCCGCACCCCTTTTCCCCTGAGCCCCCCGAGTGAGGCGGGCAAGCCGCCAGCCCCCAAGCCGCCCGCGAGGGCGCGTCCAGCCGGCCCTGACGCGGGACCAGCCCGGGCTTCCTGCACACAAGCCCGCCATCTGCTTGTCCGGGCTTCCTCCGGGTCCCTCACAGGCCCAGACGCGCCCGGCGGGACCGCCACCCGCTGCACCGCGACCTCCCAAAGCTCTGCCCGCCACAGCCCGCGCCCCGTGCCCGGCCCGGCTCGGCCAGCAGGCCCGGCCGCCCCCGCCGACCACGTACTCCAGCAGGGCCGAGAGCCTCCGCGCACCCGCCGGCGCGCACGCGCACACGCCCAGCCGAAGCCCCGCCCTCACACTTCCTGCCCCCGGCGCGGCCCGCGAGCCTGTTGGCTCCGCCCACCCGGGCAGCCCCCGGGCCCTTCTCGGCGCGGCCCCTGCGCCCTGCGCGCACCGTGGCGCCCCGGCGCCCCCCTGTGGTCGGAGGAGAGGCTTGGCCCTGGGCTGGGTCACCTGGTTGCAAGCAGTAGGTATAGTACACACTTCATTCATTCCACCAAAAAAAGTTTTCTTTAAGCATCGGAAGCCACATTCTCGGTGCCAGCATTACAGCGATGGGCAAGGCAAAGAACATTCCTGGAGTTTACATCCAAGTCTGCGCGTCAGTAAACAAGGTGTCAGAGTGGTAAGTGTAATGTCCCGTATGAGTTCGTTTTGTTTATCCTCCGTGCACAACAGGACATACAGCAAAGCACAGAGAGCCGATGAATAATGTGAGGTGTTTCTTGTATAGCCTTTTAAATGTCGCCTTTGCCTTTGAAGGGTTTGTCCTGGCAGAGCACTGAAATAGCAGCTCCTGGGTTTTCTTGGTCTTATTCCCCCGCCCCTGACTTACATGTGCCTGACGGAGGCGCCAGCGTGTCAGTCACTGCTGGTTCGTTCTGCCTGGCTCACGGAATCTCAGTGGAGTGACAGATGGGTGTGAGGGTAGACAGGGTGTCCAGGCGGTCTGGATGATGCCGGCTCAGTGGCTGTGGCTGGGACTTCCGTGTAATGGAGTCAGCAGTCATCTGCAGCTGTCCTCCAGGATTCATCTCATTCCCGAAGGGGTCACAGAAACAAGCTAAATGGAGAAATTACATGATGACCATCTCTGTACCTTTTTAATTTTGTTTTCATTTTCTTAAAGATGTATATATTTTTATTGTGAAGTCAGATATACAGAGAGGAAGCACTTCTGTCTGATGATTCACTCCCCAAGCGGTGGAAACGGCCAGAGCTACACGGATCCAAAGCCAGGAGCCTGGAGCCTCTTCCGGGTCTCCCACGTGGGTGCAGAGTCCCAAGGCTTTGAGCTATCCTTGACTGCTTTCCCAGGCCATAGGCAGGGAGCTTGGTGGGAAGTGGGGGCGACAGGATTAGAACTGCTGCCCATGTATGATCCTAGCAGATGCAAAGCAAGGACATTAGCTGCTAGGCTATCGCACCAGGCCCTCCATACCTTTTAAAGTGTTTGATGATAGCATTTCATCTCTGCCACGATCTCTTCTCCATCCCTTCAAATGACATGCCGGCTTCAGTTTACTATTGGATCGGCCTGAGGAGAGAAGCAGCCTCAGAAACTTCCACTTCAGCGTTTTCCACCGTGAATCAAGGTCAGGGATCTAACACTGAGATTGCTCTACATGCCAAATATATGCTCCCCATTGTGCAGCGGGCCTGGGTTAATGACTACTGAACGTGTCCATGAAGCTATGGCACACCGCAAGCTGGGCAATGCCCAGACCCAGCTTACCACCTGACTTCCATTGGCCCCCACACTTATGGAAGAATGCTATTAAGGGACTGGCTTCTGAGTTAGGTGGTGACAGTTTGTGTGCCCAGGCTGCTCACAGCACCTCCCAGGCCTGCTCCCAACTCTGACAGAGCTCCAACAGCTCCGGTCCCTCCATCAAGAGACAGCGAGGGGACCGTGGGACAGGGATCCAAGTGACCCCCAAGGATGCAAGAGCCACTTCACATCCTTGCTCCTACTACCACTGTCTATGGCAGAAAAGCTTAGGAAGAATACACTAGGGTGCCCAAATGGAACTGAAGTCAAAGTAGTTTACCAAACAAGCCAAAAGACACATCTTCAAGACAAAGCCACCCATTAAAAGTTACAGAAACTGATAGAGAAATATCAATATGGAAACACAAGAAGTATGAAAAAGCAAGGCAATACTATCCCCTAAAAGGTTTAAAAAAATTAATGTTTCTTTATTTTTTTTTTATTTGAAAGGCAAAGTTAGAGAGAGAAGGAGAAACAGAGAGAGATTTTCCATTTGCTAGTTCGCTCCCCAAGTGGCCACAACAGCCAGAGCCAGGCCAGGCAGAAGCCAGGAACCAGCAGCCTCTTCTGAGTCTCCCATGCAGGTGCAGGGTTCCAAGGATCTGAGCTGTCCTCAACTGCTTTCCCAGACCATATGCAGAGAGCTGGATCAGAAGTGAAGCAGCCAGGACTGAAACCAGCACTCATATGGAATGCCGTCCTTGTAAGCAGAGGCTTAACATGTTATGCCACAAAGGCAGCCCTCAAACAATAATTATTTAGTATCAGATTCCAGAGAAAGAAAGATTGGCAAAATGTTTGATAAAGAATCCAAAATAATGATTTTACCATTGCTCAAAGGGATAAAGGAGAATCATAACAGTTAAACGAGATGAGAAATCAAGGCAGGATGCAAGGGGACAACTGAGTCAAGACTGAGATCTTGAAAAACAACCAGCTAGAACTCTTAGAAACAAAGAACTCAGTAAGCTAAATAAAAAAATGCATGTTAGCGTTTTGGTAACACAGTAGATCGAGCAGAGGAAGAACATGTGAACTCGAAGACAGGGCAGGTCTCGTGGCACAGCACATGAAGCCGTGTACTGGAGCATCCATATCCCACACTTGAGTGGTGACGTCAGAACCCATACGCACTTCCACTCTGGCTTCCTGGTGACACACGAGAAGCAGTGGATAACGGCCCAAGCACTTGAACACTGACATCGATGTGGGATATCCCCCTTGGAGTTCTGAGCCATCGCAATCCATTCACCCAGTGAACCAGTGGGCGAAGGATTGATCTCCTTTTGGGTTCTCCCTTTCTTTGTGTCACCCCACATTTCAAACAATTGAAAAAAAAAATCTTTAAACCAAAATCTATCTCAAAGTCTATGTTTAGAGGACCCAATCCAAGACAGTTCAATCGGAAGCCACTTTGGGCCTGGCATTGTGGGGTACTGTGCATTGTCAGCTTCCCATGTGAACTCTGCCTTGTCTCCTGGTTATTCCACTGTCCTTCGAGCTCCCTGCCAATGGCCTGGAAAAAGCAGCAGAACTGCTGGGGCCCCTGCAGCCCATGGGGGAGCCCAGACAAAGCTTCTGGCTTCAGAGTTTGACCCGACTCCACCCTGGGCATCGCAGTCACTTGGAGAGTGAACCAACAGATGGAAGATCTCTCTGTGTGTCTTTCCCTCTCACTGTAACTGCAATTTACAAATAAATAAATGAGTTTTTTGAAGAGAAGAAGGACTGCCATTCATACTTCCTATAGAAAGTGCTAGAAGCAGAACACTGAGTTAAAGGTGGTAGAAACTCTGACTCATGACGTATGACTTGTTTTATAACTGGCTTAGGCAGAATTTCAACAGATAGTAATCAAACCTCTGTTAATCGAGTCAAATTGAGAACCAGGTGAAATGGCGACACAATTTGACATGCTTTGACAAACTCGGACAGCGCCACACACTTGGTAGTGATATGTAAGACGCCTCACGACTCCCATGGCTTCTTATTGTGCTGAATATATGCCAGGTGTAACTGTCCCAAAGTGGCCAAAAGGATGGTGGACTTATTTTTTTTTTTAAGATTTCTTTTATGTTTCATTGAAAGTCAGATCTACAGAGAGGAGAGACACAGAGGAAGAACTTGCATCCAATGATTTACTCCCCAAGTGGCCGCAAAGGCCGGAGCTGATCCGATCCGAAGCCAGGAGCCAGGAGCTTCTTCCAGGTCTCCCACGCGGGTACAGGGCTCCACGGCTCTGCTGACTTCTGTCACTGTGCTCCTGTCACGTCCCTACAGCTGGTGATAAGTTAAGGACAAGACAGAGAACAGGATTAATTTTTGAGAATCAACTGTACTTGAGTTAAAACTATAATGCCTTTTTACTTTATTTTTATTGGAAAGTCAGATATATAGAGAGGAGGAGAGACAGAGAGGAAGATCTTCCATCTGATGATTCATTCCCCCACGAAGCCACAACAGCCAGAGCTAAGCCAATCCGAAGCCAGGAACCTGGAGCCTCTTCCGGGTCTCCCACACAGGTGCAGGGTTGGGACATGAACTGGTGTCCATATGGGATCCTGGTGTATGCAAGGCAAGGACTTTAGCCACTAGGCTACTGCAATGGGCCAAGCTTGAGGAATTAAAAAAAAAAAAGCATTTAGTCAAATTCCTCTATAAGAGCAACTATTAGTTTCACACTAAAATCAACTAGGAAATATGAGCATTCTGATTGTGTAGTAGTCACACCAAATCACACTTGCTCACAGTTTGTTTTTGACATCATTTCCCAACTGAAATTTCTGGTCCAAAGCTATGACTGGAGAGATGTTAGCCACCCACTTGATCATTATGCTAGAAAGTGAGGCAGAGGTTGCTACAGTCCAGTGAGGTGGTAGCAGGACAGAGTGTGGAAATGGAACAAATCATTATAATACTATGGGGTAAATTTTATAAGAGAACCCAGGGCCTTGTCAGAGTCCTCAGCAAGCAGAACTGATGCGTTCTAGGGTACAGATGGAGACCAATTTAGGGAAGATCTGTGTGAGAAAGTTATTTTCTTGTAAAAGCTTTATTTCTGATTCTCCTCCTCTCTGTAAATCCACCTTTCCAATAAAACTAAGTACATCTTTAAGAGGGTCGGTGGGGGAGGGAGGCACAATGGCTCTAATCCTCCCCCTTCAAGCTCCGGGATGCCATTGGGGCAGCAGTTCATGTTCCAGTTGCTCCACTTCCCATCTAGTTCCTACTTATGGCCTGGGAAACCAGAGCATGGACCAAAGCCTTGGCACTCTGCACCCTCCTGGGAGACCTGGAAGAATCTCCGGGCTCTTGGCTTCAGATCGGCTCAGCTCTGGCTGTAGCAGCCACTTGTGTGAAAGAGTGGATGAAAGATCTTCCTGTCTCTGCTTCTGCCCTTCTTTCTGTAAATCTGCCTTTCCAATAAAAATAAACAAATCTTTAAGAAAAGAATTATTTGTTTGTTTCAGAGTTATAGAGAAGGAGACATACAGAGAGCAAGAGGTGTTCCATCTGCCTG